TCCAAATTGAGCTATGAAAATAAAAAACATCTGTTATAATATGACGACAACATAACCTAGAAACTCGTTCAATAATCTTCTCCAATGCTAACTATTCTAGGATAGAGATCTTTGATGTTTATTTATAATAATTGAGGCCAGTGGCGAGGAAAATTTAATTTAAATCGTAATAAAATTAATGAAAATAGTTTCTTATAAGGAATTATATTATTGTATAAATGCCTTTCAACTTTCAACAGCTACAAATTTGAATTCCAGCTATTCTTAATGTTTGTATTTCTAACTAGCTGTTCCAGTGCGACTTCATACGCATGAAATTATGAAAATTTTATTTTATTGTTTACATTGCAATGTCAAATTATCAAAATGACATGATATGATGACAACCTTGCTTCTTTGATGTTGGCAACAACTTATGGTCTCTTTCACACATTAAGGTTTTTATCCAAAATAATTAGCCCCTTTAATGGCGTTAAAATATATAGCCTAAAGCGTGACGCAAGTGTAGGACTTTTTATTTAAAAAAAAATAATTGTTTAAAAATATGCTGTAATTGCTGACATCTTAGGCAACAAAGAAGTGTGTGTTAACGCTTTATTATAATAGTATAGAAAAGTATAGAAATATAGAAATAAAGGATAATAAAATAATAATCAATTTTAACGTAAGTTTTGTTTTCGAATTGCTGAAAATTATTTTTTACGGTCGACTCTAAATTTATAAGCGCTACCTTGGATACCACTTTCCAGAATTGTTATATCTTTCGTCTTACTAATATTATAAATACTAATATTATAAATGCAGAAGTCTAGATGGATGGATGTTTGTTAGAGTTTGTAGACTAAACTACTGAACAGATCTCGATGGAATTTGGCATAAATGTAAATGATAGTCTGGAAGAACACATAGGCTCCTTAGTTTTATTTTTTAAATCCCACGCAGACGAAGTAGCGGGCGAAAGCTAGTAAGTTAATAAAACGAACTAAAACTGAGATTAGTGTTACAGCTGATTATATCATTAAGTAAGAAGCCGTGGAAAATAGATATAAAAGGGAACTGCAATAGGTCGGATCAAAGATCTGTTCTCAAGACGATGAAGGAATATTATGTGTATTTTGTATTGAAGCAAAAGTTAATTATACACATAATTTAATAAGAAAAAGTAATTATTAACCAGGTGGGAAAGATATTAATCAAATTTATTAGCATGTACAAAAGAGTATAGATTGATAATTTTTCTCACGTAATAGACAATCAACATTGTTATGTTCTACTCGTATTATGATGAAGTTTTTGTACTCCATTATGACATCAATTAGAAAGGTCTTGTTGCTTCTCATCGTGTGATCTACTAGAAAATTAATAGAAACTTTGAAATATTAAAACAAAAAAAAATGAATTTGATATTATCATTAAAACAAATTGCATTACTAAAAATAGTACAGATGTAAACAAGTAAATCTAACTAATTAAAAATGTTTGAATGGATAGATTTGTTAGAAGGTATTTTCCACAGCGATAGATAAATGTCTGGAATAGCGTATACTCTATGTACTGTTTTTTAAATTCCGAACGAACAAAATCGCGGGCAAAATCTAGTAATAAATTACTTTCGATAGTAGAATCCTTGCGTTAAATTACAACTCGTCAATCATAATAATCATTATGAGAAGTGTTGCAGTGCGCGGCAAATACTTTTGATGTGTAACAACCAGTTTCTGAAGTCATAAGACGAATACATTACGTTCATGCAGTTCAAGAGTTATTTACAAAATGGTCAAACATTTGCATAAAGTTCTGAAAATAAATATTGGAAGATGGAACACTAGCAAATGTTACATAATTATACATTTTAATGTTTAACAAATAATACATTTAAAGCATTTATTAAATTACAAAGATGCTTTTAACATTGAAATATATGTCTCGTGGGTGTAAAACTTAAGATGGGTTTACACTGTTAGAAAACCTGTATCACTGTTATCAATGTCATAGTCATTGAAAAAGAAAACAATAATACGATTTAATGCAATTATCGCAGCAATGGAATTTCACGGTTACGTTTTAAGTACGAGTTTCATTGACAATCGACGATCGTAATATCGTGAAAGTGACATTGACGCTAATTCGTTTCTTGCGAGCAATTTTTTGTTCCATCGCATCTGATGTAAGACATCTACATTATGACTACATAATGTAGACCTAAAGTACATTTGGAGCCCATCAATGATGAAAGTGTTACAAATGGAATTTGTTGCGTCAAGACAAATTTGTCTTGACTTTCCACTGTTGAAGCCTTTGTCAAAACATATTGCCGTCCTTCATATTCTATACGGAAAAAAATGAGATAAGAACATGGGATGGTTGAATGGAATCGAGGCAATCGAAAGCTGTTTCTCTATGCTTTCCCTTTCAGTATAGCTTTAACCCTTTACGTATAGGTGACGAATATATTATCATAACAGATAAAATCAACTAAGTAATGTTTTATTAAAAAGCTATTGAAGTTATTTTTGTATCAACATACGTATTCTAATAATATTTATATTTTACTTTAAAATATTGTATTACATCAACTCTCTATTAGATTGACAGAGATGATTTGCGTAAACGTTATTGATGGGATAGCCTAAACGCTGGTAGAACGTGGAAATTAAAGGGGACAGGAAAGGTCACACGATATTGCCTCAGCCTTATAGTCTATAAGATGCCAAACTAGTTATCTATACAAATTTTAAAGACAGTATAAAAAAATTTAATAAGAATTAAGATGGTCGATTAAAATACCTAATAGAGTTTAAAACACCATTTTATATAGTTTTTATTAAGGAAAACATCCAACATATCTGTATCTGCTTACTTCAGATTAAACTTGTTAATTTAAAATAAACATGTATTATATAAAAATGTAATTATTTATTTATATTCATTAATCATATAAATCGTAATTTCGACTGTTCAATGGCAAAGCGAAATTACTTTAGAAATATATCAAAGCCAAGGTCTATCAATTGGAATTGATTTGGTCGAATAATTGAAAACTGTGTTTACAATTCACTCTAAAAAATATTGTAAATAATAATTAGAATTACAAAAACCGTCGGTTTATGTAATCTGAAAGTTTTAGTAACAGTAAATTAAGTTAATTTAGAACAACGTAATCGCTGCCTACGTTCAAACATGTTTACAAATAATTTTACTTGCAATATATTGCACTTATATATAATTGAAATTGACTCAAGTAAATGTAGTTTAGACAAGCAATAACCACACAAAAACATTTCGACCTCATTATATAATGAAAAGCTTTTGAATACACGTTCGTAAAATATTGAAAAAGGTCTATTATAAACGGTAATTTTATGTCTAAGAGCATTTACAATGAGTTATTACGATAGGTTATAGTCGATTGATTTAGAACAAAAAATAACACGTCCGTTACTATGAGTGTAAAATAATAAATGTCTTTAGATATTTATGTTAAAATCCATTGAGATGTCGCATCATCATTTTCCTCCTTATCCTATTCCCGTAGTGGCGCAACAGGTTTTTGTCCTCCACATAACTCTTTCATACGTCATCTCAGTCGTCACTCCCTTCTTGATCATGTCACCTTTCACGCAATCCATCCATCTCTTTCTAGGTCTACCTCTACTGGTGTATCCACACTCATAACTAACGTTCTCCTTGTTACATGCAATTCCTCCCTCCTTTTAACATGCCCATACCATGTAGTATCCCTTAGAAATAATGTGAAAAACTGATCAGAACTGTTTGGAATGAGTATCTAAAAAAACTTGAGAGGGACCCTCTAACACCTTTGTGGAGACTTATATAATGTAACGAAGAAAAAAAAAAATAGAAAAAAACAACCTTTAATTGAGAATTCGTATTACAGATGCAATCTTAACATGCTATGACCGCTTTACATCAAAGCGAATGCAAATCGCATGAACAGTCAAGTGTGAAAATTAGCATGAATAGTCAGCAATCAATTACATTGTAGATGTAATATGGAATATGTAATATGTCGGAAGAAAAACAATTGGGTTCATTTGATGCATACATATCTATTACCAGTATTCTCCTCGGCTTTCTTCTTTCAAATAAAATGATATTCCACTAATTTTAGTATAGTTTAGGTTAGCTAACTGGTTGACTAAATGAAAACAATAAAATATAAATGTAAACTAAAAAATCTCGTGTCAATATCGAATCTATTATCAATAATTATATTGGTTCCTTTATAGTGAATGTAATTGACATCACCTTAGTTTCCTAAACAGGTTCCTGTAGTGGTTTTACTTTTTTAAGCCGTGAGAAACTTGCCTTGCACGTATGTTAATTCATATGAAGAATTTGTAGGCAATCTCAAACACCTTTAGACCATATGAAGAAAACTAATTGAACAGGTTTACAGCATCACTTAAAACAAACTGTAATTAAAAAAAACATTTCTTTAAAAATTGAAATTATTATTTTGTATTCTTAACTAGCTGTTCCCGTGCGACTTCATTCGCATGACATAATGAAAATTGTTTTATTGATTACATTTGACAAATTTAATGGTAAATGTCAAATTGACAAGACATGACAAACCTTGGCAATCATATTTCCTTGATGTTGGCAGCAACATATGGTCTCTTTCCCATGTTAGGGATTTCATGCAAAATATATACCCCCTAAGTTTAATGGCGTGAAAATGTATAACCTAAAACGTGACGTAAGTGTACGGCTTTTTGTTAAAAAAGAGTTATTCGAAAATATGCTGTGATTGCTGATCATTGGCAACAAAGAAGTGTGTGTTTACGCTTTATTATAATAGTATAGATTACCGGGCAGATATAACGTATGTATGTTTGTATATTCCTATGTTAATTCCATTACCTCCTGTAGTCTAAAAGGTTGCGTGGTGTCGATTCATGTTTTTTTCCTAGGAGGTCTTAGGATTAGTCAATAGGGTGATTTGACTTTTTATAATTTACTTTTTTTTGTTGCAGCAATCATGAGGGCGATTTTAATAATAATACTGGCTACCAGCGCAGTCAATGGAGGTTACTTCAGTTATTTTAATGATCAAATGCAATCGCTTCTGTCAACAGTTTCCCCTTTTGGTTACCAATTCGGTAGCACAAATATACCATTCACATCAAATGCTCCAGCTCTTAGATTACCTGTGAATGGATTCGGGTATGATTTTATTTATGTCATTTCTTATGTTTTAAAAATAATCTTGCACTTTCTAAAATGTGACTATACTTGATAACACCCACATAATTTGTAAAGTTATACACACATTTGTACATTGAATGTTAACGTATTGTTTGTAGCACGTTGATTAATTTAAATGGAAACGCTTATTGAAAAAGGCAGACGAGAAAAAAGTTAGACTAGTCGATCAGCATTTGCAAAGCTTGTGTCGTATAATTGTTATTAATTTCACATATTTATGTTGCATGTAGATTATTTTTGCACTTGTTTATAACACATGTGTTTCCTACAGCCGTGAGAAGATCGCCGCGACGTATGGAGTGCCAAGTTACAGGTTATTTGTGATAATTTTCAGCATGTTATATCATTGAATTACTTCATAAGCTTGTTATGTATTTGTATTCTATGTAATGAGGCGCTGCCGTCCATTCTTATTTATTTTTTTATCTACTGCTTGTCATATCTTTAATAATAATAATAATAGCCTTTATTTCGACAATCTTACAATTTACATATAAACTTAACAATTTTGTTTTTAAAATTCATTTGACACTGGTTTTAAGATTGCGTTGCGGAAACCGGATAGGCCTCCCCTAAAGCTTGCCACTCCTTTCTGTTGTATGTCTTTCTCCTCCATGTAATTCCAGCTCTTTTCCTAATTTCATCTTCCCATCTACGACGCTGTCTCCCTTTACGTCTTTTATTCTCTCTTGGGCTATTATGATATAATTATATTTTTTAAAAATGCTTTATTTTAAATGAATTCTACATGTTTGTATTAAAAATAGTTACTTTATGTATGAAATAAATATGCATATTGTTTTATGTTGCATCATTTTTATTTATATTATCTAGTAAAAATATTTCCATCTAAAATATATTCTCTACAATACATTATACAAATATTAAAACTAATGTTTTTAATGCATTTATATCATATGTTTTCTTTATTAACAATAATTAACATTATTTTTTACAAATGAGAAAGATATTAACGAGAGAAATATAGTTTTAGCAACCCTCCACCGCCGCCGAGCAGTGGATCAGACCCGGCGACTCAGACGTGTGGTCTACCCCCGGCTTTCTGTCCTAAAGCAAGGTACAGGTCTTTAGATGGTTCCTGTAATAACCTACAATCACCAGTTTGGGGTACACCACAGACGCCTTATGGTCGCCTAGTACAATATAATTATGCAGATGGTGAGTGATTTATTTTTTTACCGTTTCGTAATTTTAATTAGTACTATTATATGTTAAACTCCGACAAGATTTTTTTTTCAATGAATGTTAAAATTTGTTTCGTTTTGAATTTTCATTTTGATGCTACTACAATTATTATTGTTAAAACGTTGTATTTTGTTTGTTTTCTTTGAATTTGTAATTAAAATGTGTTTGAATATTCAGATTAATTCACTTGTAATGTAGGGTAAGCTAATTGTTAGCTTTAGTTTTAAATATTAGTTAATAATTTTAATTGTGTATTTAGTTTCTCATTTAAACTATGGATTTAATAATCAAACTTTACAGACAAAACAGATTAAAAAATACAGCAATTTCATTAAAATTGAGTATTTTATAGACTTAAGATGAAGTTAAAAGAAATATTCTTTCTGTAAATAGTGTAATGTGAAATATTCTTACAGAGAAAAATTATTACGAAAAACTAAATGGTTATAATAAAAACACATCTAAACAAAATGTCAACTCGGTATTTTCAAGTTTATTTGTTACAGGTCTTAGTGCGATGCCGGTTTCTCAAACAGGACGTCAACTACCTAATCCTCGAGAGATTAGTCTAAGGCTCTTCCCAGACAAGCAACTGATAGATCCTGTATGGAACCTTAACGCTCAGCAGTGGGGGCAGATCATCACGCACGATATGTCGTTGACCGCTGGTGTGGCACAAACACGTATGTAGTAAATTTACTTTTGTTGTCATTTTATATGTATTCAAATAACTCAAAAAGTACTGGGCCGATTTCAAAAATTCTTTCACCATTACTTTATCAGTGAGTAACATAGGCTACATTTTTTATTGTTTTTATTTTCACGCGAGGTCGCAAGCAACAGCTATTGTTTTATAAATATACTACTAATATTTATAATTAAAATCTTTTTCCTGTCACTTATAATGATAATATATAAATGTGTAATAACGTAGTCTAAGTATTGGATTTTATTATCTTTAATGACTATTAGCAAGTCATGGTAGGCACAGGTTAAAAATAAACATTTCAATGGCCGAGACGAACAAAAAATGTTAACTTCAGTAGCCTTTTATATTTTAATGTTAAGTACATTTAATTTAATGGCAATATCAAACGAAACCTTAAATAATTAATTCTATTCTGAAGCCAATGATGTAAGATTTTGGATATGCATTTAATTTTCATGAACTTCATGATAAGACAAAACTCGAAAGCACGAGGTTGAAATTCCTAACTATAGAAATGTTCTTCAGATAGTTGCATAACAAGCCTCAAGTCTGTGTCTTAAGAAGGATCGAGATAAGTAACATAGCATTGTCTGTCTGATTCAATTGACAGATAAAGATCTACTGACATGCTGCGATGATAACGGGCGGCTAGCTCCCGACGCCACATTCAACCCGACGTGTGCACCCATCCTCATTCCTCCTACTGACGTCATCCACGCCCCCCAGGGCACGCAGTGCATGAACTTCGTAAGGACAACTACGACCAGGGATAGAGGATGTACTGCGCCTAATGCTCCCGCCGAACCGGTAAGACATTCCATTGTCTTATAAATTTATTGAACTGGTGCATTTTGTATGTATTTAGTTAAAAGCTTACTTAAACTAAGGTGGGATATCCCAGGGCGTCTATTGCAAAATTATTATCGCAAATAAAAGCCGGACGTGATAAATAAATAATTGTTAAACATATTTCATTGTACTAGGAAACGTATCAAAGTGTCGCTTTATAGTTAACAGTGCCGTATACTGTAAGATTAGTGTTTACGGTCCGTCGTTTTATTGAAACGGCACAAATAGTGTGTTCTAATAATGTGAACAATTTATTTTATGGAAGAAATAACTCATGAGTGTATTGTCGACAAAATGTGAGTGCTATTTTTGATTGCGTGATGTTTGATTTTTTATTAACTAACTACTTAACTGCATATTCAATGAAAACATATTTGGCAATACTAGAGGTAGATGTTTTTTTTTTATTTTTTTATTATTATTTTTGTGTGGATAAAACATCTCCCTTTGTTATTAAGCTATCAACAGTGACCGCATACATGGACTTGTCCCTCGTATATGGCAGTAGCGCGCAGCAAGGCGCTGCGATCCGCGCATTCTCCGGCGGCCGTCTGACTACCCTCGTGCGGAACGGGCGGGAGTGGCCACCACAGGACCCTAATATCACTCTCACATGTGAATCCGCGGTCTCTGTAAACGAACCCTGCTATTTAACTGGTGAGAAAAACACGTATTGTCCATTATGTTCCATTGCCCTGTTCAAATGTACAGGGCAGGGGTCTCCCGTACTTTATCTAAGAAATAAACAAAGACAATAATAACATTACATAAATATGGTTTAAATATTCCCTTTACTTTAAGGTGATATAAGAGTCAACCAAAATCCTCAATTGACAATCTTACAAATCATACTACTTCGAGAGCACAATCGCATCGCCGATACATTGGCTAAACTGAACCCATACTGGGATGATGAGACCATTTATCAAGAGGCCCGTCGTATCCATATAGCTGAAATTCAACATATTAATTACTATGAATATTTACCTATATTCCTTGGTAAGTACTAAACCACTAACTTAGTAACTGATGAATTAAGAAGAATTGTTACTGAAAATGTAGTAATTATAATGAACAAAAGGCTTGTAATAAATAATGCTTTTAAAGGTTTCAACAATATGGTAAAGAATAAGCTGATATACCCTGGCGCCAAAGGCTTTGTCGACGACTACAATCCAAGAGTAAACCCAACAGTACTCGACGAGCATGCAACTGCCGCGTTTAGACATTTCCATACATTGATTCGAGGATATTTACAGTAAGAACTAAGTCACCTTGTTAACTATCCATTTTTGTGCTACCATACACTCGAGCTAGGAAACCAGATAGGAGTTATTATGAATTTCCCATTGGTTCTAAACAGACATACCTCCCGCATCTATCACCTTATATCAAATAACTTTAGTGCTATTATGATCGACACATTCTAAAATATTTAACAAGATTGCTTAACTTTTGTAACACTTCTTTTGTTTTAAAATGTTATACTTTCATGATTTGTTTCTTCTCACAGAATGATATCAGAAAATCGCAAACTATCCGGTGCTGTGCGTATGAGCGATTGGTTTAACAGACCTCTGTTGTTAGAAATCAATAATGTATTCGATGATTTAGCAAGAGGTTTAGCTACGCAGCCGCAAGACTTTAGTGATCAGTTCTGGGACACCGAAATGACGCAGTTTCTTTTCAAGTAAGTTACGCTGGTAAATCATATTATGTTCTTCTTTTACCTATAGAAGTGTAGTAATTATAGTTCTGTTAATTTTATTGAACTGTTGAATATCTAGGCGCAATAACACATTTGGTGGTGATCTGAGAGCTACAGATATACAACGCGGGCGTGATCACGGCCTGGGCAGTTACAAAGCCACGCGCGCTGCTTGCAACCTGCCTGTACCACACACCTTCCATGATATGCTTGATTTCATATCAGAACAGGTATTAATGATTGACATTAATATAATCTACAGTTTTTAATGCATGTGCATTTCTGTTTCATAAAATTTAGACCTCAAAGACTCCAAACTGCCATAGAAACAGCCATTTGTTCGTGAATGGCTTGCACGTGGAAACTTTTAGACATATCAATTATTATGTGTTTTTTTATGTGACAAATAAAATTACCATTAAATAGATAATGATTAGCAAAAACAAGCAATAAAAGAGATTAAAAAACCCCGTTCTTGTCTATAATTGTAATACAACATATTTAGTGAATAGTTAAGAAGATGAGTTTATCTTACTACTACTTCAGCTAAGGTTTACATATTTTTACATAATTAGCCAATTTTAATACTGTAATTTTCAATAAATTAGGTGCTTTGTTTGGAATATTTTTTTCCTTAAATTTCGATAAAGATTCGGAGAAAGTAGAATCTGTTTGAGAAGATATAAACAAAGTTAGGCTGGATGTTTACGAAAATAACTTACGTAACGTAAACTACTGGACAAGATGAAATGCATTCGGACCATAACATCGTTTGTACCGAAATTACCTAAATTCAAAAATATAAATAGATTCTATTTACAATTTGTTGAATTCTTCAATCATTACATGGTATAATCAAATGTTTTTATCAGAATGTGCAAATCTTGCAAACCCTGTACGATACTCCGGAGGACGTGGAGCTGGTGGTAGCTGGATCTCTAGAGACGAATGTGCCGGGCGCGCAAGCGGGGCCGACCTTCCTCTGTATACTGACTGAGCAGTTCTACCGCACGCGAGCTGGAGATAGGTACTTCTATGAAAACGGTGCTGATCCGGAGACTGCGCTTACATTAAGTAAGTTGGTTATCAAATGATGTCGTACATTCTTAATATCTGGTGAAGAAAATTAAATAGAAAGACTATCTACAATAAAGATAATGTATATAAGAAGGGAGTAATTCAGATACTGGACTGTATTGATAGAGTGATATGAAAGAGCTTATTCTGTATGGGAAAGAAGGGAGATGATGACATTCTTGATGTTTGTTAACTGTGTTTCCTTTGAGATTTTAATTGAAACGAAGTGTTGTTTTCTGTTGTTATTAATTAAAGATATTTATTCAGGTCAGTTGGAATCAATTCGGCACGGCGCATCGATGGCTCGCCTGCTCTGTGATAATGCGGACCACATACAACTAATGCAGCCTCGAGCTTTCGAGCAAATTTCGCACAAGTGAGTTCCCTTTAGAAGATTTTACATAATTCTTTCTTACTGGGAATCCAGGCCGGATATTTAATTCCGAAGATAAGACAATTGGTCTTTCTACCAAATGCCTAATGGCTAACATTTTACATACTTGGTGATCAGCTTGATATCAGAATTTCACTCGCATGAAATGTCCCGAAAAGATGGCGTATTTGTCATTTTTCTTTATAATCTTGGCTGTACTAATTGTGTTAATATGTAGAAATTAATTATAATAAAATTAATGACGATTTTTTAGGTTTCTTTTTTTCTCATCAAATAGTAACAATATAATTTTACATTCACAGCAATAAATTAGTGCCATGTGATGAACTGCCGGCCGTGGACTTATCGTTGTGGGCTGATAGAAGACATTATTATAAGAAGAAATAAGTAATTATTATTACTAGTTTAAGGAACCATATAATTGTAAAAAATTAACAACGTAATAATATATCTTGTCTTATGAACTTTAAGTATTTTGTTTTGTTTATTATTAGAGGAAAAAAAAAATTGTAACATCAACTAAATTGTGATATGAAGATAATAATTTCTCGAATGTTACATGATTTACTTATTTAATTTTTTTATACAAATGTAAGTTTTTAGGCTAATACCACAAATGTTATTGTTGCCAATATTTTTATGTCGTAATCATATAAATAACGTGGTCAGACATTTTTTAATCATTTAACATTCTGTTTTAAATTACATTTTAAGTTTGTAAAAATCATGTTAATTTATTACATTTCTGTAAATACTATTTAGAAAGGAGTAAAATAGAGTTTAAAAATTTACTGATATTTTGCTATGTTAGTCTATATTTAAGATGTAAATAAATGTTTTTTTACGATAAATTGGTTTTGCCCTCTTTCTTTAAATCACCTTCACCGAAAATACTAGGATTAGAAAATACGGTATGTAAACAAAGTGTCTAGATTCTAAAAGGTGCGCCTTCTTGGCTACTTAACAAGTATGTATACTTAAGAATAATTAAGAAAAAAAAAACAAGAAAGGATTTCTTGTAAAATAAGACACGAACTATATTAAGTTGTTCTATTTAATTTTGGTAATTATAAGCACACAACAAAACATTTTTAAACGAGAATAAAAAGAAAAATTTTTCGTAAATGCGATTTACGTCATGAGTACACGACTACTGGAATGGAAGACGTGACGGCGCACGTATATTTTCGTAAACATTATAATTTTATTCACTGCTTTCGCCTTATCCAATATACGACGAAACCAAATAGCTTATTTTAAAAAATGCTTACACGTATCGTCGTAACTTACGAGTATGTGCTTAAAAGTAATAAAAAAGCCTTTGTTTTTTTTTAAACAAGCAATTTGTATAGAAAGATATTGATATTAAATACTTGGTTAGTGTAATTTGGTGAATAAATGTAAACCAAGCACAAAATGGTACATGTTTTTATGTTATTATTGGGTTTTAGAAAAGACGCGCAAAATCTAACTCTTCTAAATATCTTCGTCATTGTAGACGTGACTTTGGGAAGAAAACTTATAATTGGTAGTTATTGTTAAAACATTTTCATTAATACTATTGGGCTAAATAACAATCTTACGTAATATTTTTTATGTTTGTATTTACGACTGGTAATACAAAATTTAATTATATGCTCGCATGACACACTAATTACAAGCAAATGAAATTACTTCGGTCTTGTGTAACTTCATTGAACCTTTCCCTGCGCCAAGCGGTTATTTATCATAGTTTAAGTACAATGTACAAGTTAATATGTTTTACTGTTAGAATTGTTGAAATTTAAACTAAAATTTCGATTGAATATCAAGTCAGAGTGGTGCGTACAAAAAATGTCCTGTAAAAATTTGTGATCGTGCTCAATTCTGGTCCACATTGTTAGGAGAACATGAAATCTTCTGTTGCTTTATAATCATTGATACACTAAGGATTTTGACAAAGTTATGTTGAAAATATCCGAATTTCAACGTTAACATAATTTGGCAAATTAGCAAATTAATTCGAGACAATAACTTTTTTTAAGTTTTCGAATGATACATTGTAACCGGAAACTATAATATTTACAAGATTTCATGAACAGTTTCATAACTTTCATAGTAATGTGTAGATGAAAATTTCGTCATAGTTGTAAACATAGTTAGTAACTTTGGTATAATTTACTCACGAATGTTGTAATATGTCGTTACGTTATCCCTAGTTGGTGGAAAGTCTGAGCCCTGCGGCATAGTGTTTATCAAATTATGTAACTTAGACATATATCATGTAAGTTCTAGAAATTGGTTCAGTCATAGAGATATAATATCTGAAACGAAATAATAATTAGTAATGAGGGTTTTTCTAAAAGGAAGTAAACTGAACGAGAAATGAACTGACTGAATGAAGGATAAAAAAAATATTGGACCGAAACCACAAAGTGAAATAAGTGAGGTGATGGTTGTTTTAGAATGATGAAACGTGAATTTATATGTCAAGTAAATATTTAAACCTACTTTATTAGGCGTTTTATAGACCATCGGAGCTCACTCAGAGAGTCCAAAATATTTGTAAATAAGATACTTTTATAATATGGTTTACTATCTCTACTACCTAATATAATAAAGCGTAAATACACACTACTTTGTGGCGTAGGATGTCAGCAATCACAGCATATTCGTGAAGTTTTTTTTTTTATAACAAAAACCCTACATTTACGACATTTTCACGATATTAAACTTAGGGGTAAACGAATGGGAAAAAACCCTTCATGCGGGAAAGGGACCATAAACTACAAGCTGCCAACATCAAGGAAGCAAGGTTGCAATAGTTTGTCATCATGTCATGTCATTTTGACATTTGCAATTGATAATTTGACAAATGTAAACAATACAATATTTTTTTTATAATTTCATGCGGATGAAACCGGATGGGATAAGCTAGTCTGAGATAAAGTAAAATCAGATGGTACATTATTATGCTAACGAAGTAATTCAAAACAACATGCAAGCTCGAGCATTGAATAGAATTTCATGAGATCAAAGCAAATCAATGCGTCGTAACAAGTCTGTTGTTCGCTAATTTAATAGAACTTTACACGGAAATAACTTCACGTGTAGACGGGTAACTTTACAAACAAGAATACAATTTTAGCACTACTAGGGTTTTCACAAAAGGGTAGGGTTTGCAAATTATAAATGTCATGTTCTGCGACCAGTTATCGATCAAACATTGATCTGTTTCTTACAGCTACTTCTTTTATTTTATCTGGAATTCAAACAATGGATATGTAAGATAAATTTATATTGTTTTTTTTTAAATAATAAAATATGTTTATTAGTCCTATAATTCCTGCATTGTCGGACAATATTATAGTCTAATACAGCTTTTGTGCGGCCTACGTTTGCAATACCCGATCCGGAGGCAGACAATTCACCAAAACCACCTTTGTATTTCACCTCTATTGTTGTTGACTTAACAAAAGAAATGAATAAGACAACTTCATATTACGTTGGTATTTTCGTGTCAAGAACACAGTCTTTTTACACAATAACGGAAAACATGATCGGTTTGTTTTATTGTGATATTCATTTCAGTTAATTTATCTTATTTTTAAATTGTACAACCTCTCATAGTTTAGGAAACTGGAAAATGGGGATTGAATGGCTGATCCATGGCTTTTGAGTACTCTCAATAGAAATATGCCAGTTATTACCCAGTTCAAGATGACTTCCCGTCTCTTTGTAGAATATCTTGTGTTGCAAGCGGATTCTTATTTCTAATTAATTTACTCTACCGTTTACTTTAACAAGAAAAGCTTAAAGAACGAATCGAAAAAAAAAAGACTTGAAATAAAATAAACGTAGGACGACACTCGTAAATGCGACATAAAAGGAAATAACAAAGAATACCTTAAAAGAAGGTTCTTTGAGTTGGTTATTTTACAACTTGTAGTCCGAAGATAGCATCAGTAAGTACACAAAAATGGTTTTGTTTTTTAAAGAAAAAATTCTTTGTTATTTTTCCAAAACTTTTTAGCTCTATTTTTTTTATAATGTAAGGTGGCAAACGAGCAAGCGGCCACCTGTATCCATCGAAATGGAAAGTGACCGCTTGCCCATAAACATCCCCAATTGCAGATGCGTTGCCTACCCTTCATTGATGAAGGAGGAGATGCACATAAAGAAATGTTCCCTTCCTATGCGTCTCATCCACCGTCAAATCCACTTTTCCTTCCCATCCTTTCCTATTAAGAAAAGGGTGGAAATGGAATAGTAGTAGGCCTGGTAGATGATAGTACTAGCCTTATGTAGATTTCATTCCCAATCCGAAAAGACCTACGACGGGAATGCCATTTCCAAACAAAATAATCATTTTAAACAACGTAATTATTTGAAAAACTTACAAAATACGAAATCTGTAATTTATGCTGATATCTTGTTATTACATAAATTTAATTAAAGAGGTATTAACTCAGAAACCGCAACAAAGAAGTCACGGTCTTTAGCCATTTGGCTTTTTGAAATAATCACTAATTAATACATTCTTATCACTGTCCGTATTTTAGACCAAATTTGGCAATTGTGTATGATAACAGGTCCTTTGGTTGAGCATTTCAAATAATAAATTGTTAATTGTAATAATTAAATCGTTTGATAAAAACTATTGCATAAACTTTTTACTTATTAGATGCTCTATCTGTGATCTCATGGCATTTTTGCTAGCATGTGTTTGTTAACACTTTTCGAAAGAAATAATAAATAAATAAAATAAAATAAGTACTTACCCTTAATATTCAGTTTATCCGACAAACAGTAATTATTCATTCACGTAAAACTAGAAAACAGTCGAATTATGAATGCTTTTATTTAATTTATCGTCCTCAATGATAGGTTAATTTAACAATGCAGATGCGTTTGTTTAATTTGGAAGAAATTTTAATGAAGGCCTGTTTAGATTTGCTGTCAGGCATTGTAAGCAGATGTCTTTAATATAATCAGGGCGGAACGAATCGCTTGGTTGCCACCATGTCGACGACTTTTGTCTTCAGGACATTGACCGTGAATTATCTATATAAAATAATACTGTTTGTTTACCCAGGCAATAATACGTAGGTTAAACTAATAGAAATATTGAAACAAGTTTTTTCTTTAAAAAGTTGAAAGTGAAAAGTTTTTTATTCAATTAGGTTTGATTTATATTTACTGGTACATCGCAGTCGAATATCGATTTTAATTCCTTATCTGTACTTAATAAATCGTGTTTTAATGTTTCGTTTGAATTTTATTATTATTTACGTTAATAATGCGAAATACGTAATACAGACCTGACAATTAAAGTGATGTCTTTACGAATTGTGTCGTGTCGTAATATTCAGGACGGTTACTGGACGTTGCCGGGCGTTGGCTGATTTGCGAACAACTAATTGCTGTCAATCAAAAACGGCAAATGCTTCACGGTTTAATTACGTGTTCTTTTGTAATTCTTTAAATATTTAAAGAAGTTGTAAGACATTTTTATGCAACGGTCTACATAATTTTCGCGCGTAAAACTGCACTTATTGAGATTGCATTGCGTATATTTGTAAACCTTTTAATGTGTTGCAACGAATTTTGTTAATGTTTTTGAGTACGAGGAACAATTTTTGTAATAGTTTTTTAAATATTAAATTACGTATATCTCTGCTTGTTAGTATAGTAAAAGTAGAGTTG